ATATTTACAAAACACACATTATATTTTTCTTTAAAACATATTTTTTTCATCAATTAAAATGAGAATAATCCATACAGATTGTGCAAACATTTGAAAGTCATAGGTTGAAAAACGCTGAATCCACGAGGTTAAATATTAGAGCCTAACACAAAGCGGAGCGGCGGCGCACCGGCGCCTACAAACCTAAAGCCGGCTCCAGACTACGCGGCATTCGCCGAATATTACTCGCCGAATACCGAATATTTGGCAAGTCCCGCGTAGTCTGGATGGAACATTCGCGTCCACTTGGCTCGTGTTGACGCGAGGCGAGTCACTCGGCTCGGCATTCGCCCCAACCCGCTGAAAGTCGGTTTTTGTGACACGAGTCAAAGGGATCGCGAGTACGAAGCCGAGCGTCCATCGCGACATCGGAGCAACATCGGGGTGCCATCCAGACTACTCGTCCTCACTCGCCGAATGTTCGCTATAGTTTTGTAGGAAGGGGGCGAAGAGGTGCAGCGTTTTCCAGTGTTTTTTCTTCACTTGGCGAACATTTGTCCTATCCCATCAGATATTCGTTATTTTACCAAATGACGAGCCAAGTACGACTTTCACGAGTAGTGTGGCGCTGTACACTCGTGGAAATATTCGAATCTGCCCGTCGATTCCCGAACCCCGAATATTCGTTACTCGGCTCGGCACTCGGCGAATGCCGCGTAGTCTGGAGCCGGCTTAACAGGGATACTTCACGCATTGCGCAATGCGTGAAGTATCCCTGTTAGGTTTGTAGGCGCCGATGCGCGTTTCCCGCCCGCCGCGCCGCCCACAGCGTACCACGGCGCTTGAAGCAACTATTTCACACCAGAGGTATTGCACAGTATCGAAATTGAAAGCGCTCCAACATATTAGGAAATGGTAGGCATCCTTCAAAAGTACGGAGCTTTCCTCGCTAAATAAATCAAGACACTACGGCCCAAAAAGAGAGCAGTATTCCAAAAACTCACTAAGTCCTAGCATCCGTAATTAGTAACGTTTAGCATATATTTTATCGCCAGGCTGTTGCTTAATCGCCATCGGCTATATAAGACTATAAGAAATTGTGTTGCCGGCTATAGAAGCTATTGGAAATCTTACAGCCGGCTGTAGGTCTATGGTATTTTGGAACACAGATTCTACTGCCAATTTTTACCAGGGGTGCACCCTGTTGGAGAACAACAGAAGTGAGATTGAATGAATCGCTCAATCCTGTTTTGTTCTAAAATTATATAGAAAATACTTATTTTTTCGATTTTCCCCCCAACACTTAGGCATGTATAACGTTAGGCACCTACAGCCATCTAGTGCCCCTAGAAACCCGGAGGACATCCATGCTCCATCCATCTACGCCCCACGCCTTTCAAATTGACCAGTGAACAAAGTACCTTTTCTTCAATTCTATTTATTCACAGTTCATCGTCGGAAGCTCATTTTATCCGTGCGAAACTTATTGAATTCACAACAGCGCAGCTTTTGAGTAAGTTGCAATCTTGTAAACGGCAACTCTCTCAGACTTGCATGAGAATACGATGACCAAAGCAAAAGGACTTAAAAACCACAATCCGAGTTTGGACTCTCTTTTTTGAAATAAGACATACAAAGAAAACAAAATCTTGAGACGTGCAATAATGTTCACCGGTCATTTATCAATAGTACGGCACGATTGAAGATTCCAAAATTCAGAACATTTTTGGTCAACATCACTGTACAGGGCCACTCAGATACGAGGCAGAAGAGCGCCTTCAACCCAATATGTAATCTTAATGCGAAATTCGGATACCACTATTCGTGCGCCATTTCAGTCATTTGGCATACCCGGCCAGTTAAAGGCGCAAATCAGTGACCCAGGCAACAGGATACGAATTTCAGCAATTTGATACGTGTTTTTAAGGAAACAAAACCTCCGGGGGTGCCCCACCTGACATCCAATAAGCTAAGCCTCCGGGGGTGCTCCCCCCTGGCATCCAAGAAGCCCGACCCCTCGGGGGCTGCCCCACCTGGCATGCGGCACAGGAAAGCCGAAAAACCAAACCGGGACGCTACTTCAAGTACTTCAATATTAAACTTCCATCGCCTTGCTAAGGCGCAGGGCTACAACTAATTCCTTTTATTAATTAGTTAAAATATTCCTGCTCCTTAATTTTTAATTATTCTGGTAAAATTTTCTTTTTACGAAATACAATTCTGGCTTTAGCGCCCTTAAACTACGGTCTTAACGGTCGAAATTACAGAAGCGGCACAGGAAAACCGAAAAACAACGCGGGGACGCTGCTTCAATATTTAGCCTCCATCGCCTTGCTAAGGCGCAGGAATACAACTATTTGAACTCTCCGGAACGCGTGAGGTATCACGCTTCAATTGAAGGCGTTTTCGAATCTTCTGTATTTTCATGACGAGATTTTCCAAATTGTTTTGCATTATACTGTAGATTTGAGTTCCGTTTATTATTTAGTTAAATTACTCCTGCTTCTGAATTTTTAATTATTCTGCAAAAATTAACTGTTCGCGAAATAGAATCCTGGCTTTAGCGCCCTTAAACTACGGCCTTGACGGTCAAAACTGCAGTAGCGGCACTCGCATCCAAGAAACCCAACCCCCAGGGGCTCCCCCTTGGCATCCAAAGAGACCAATCTCTGGGGGCTGCCCACCTTGGAAAACAAGGAGCCCAACCTGGCATCCAAGAGGCCAAACCCGTGGGGGCTGCCCAACCTACATCCTGAGAGCCCAACCTGGCATCCAAGAGGCCAAACCCGCGCACACTGTGGTATTGGACCTGAAAAGCTGGCCAAAACTATTTATCACCAGATATCGCCGAGTTTTAAAACTATTTTACAATCAGTACTTCTTCTTAAGTGATAATATGCACAATTTAACCACCTAACACATCATATGACAATTTGCGGAGAGTTTAAAGAGGGTGCAAGAAGCCCCCCAAAAAAGCCTTTAAAAGGACGCAAAGTATCTGACTAAAGCGGTGCATTTAGATGAGTTTCTCCTTCACCTATGGTCTACTTTTCGAAAAAAGGACTTTCTATTACCTCATTTATGGTTTTTTTTTAAAAACAGCGTAAGTCACTTCAAAATTTTTGACGAAACAGCCGATCTCTCACATTGAGGAGTAATTGTACATTTCTCAAAAAAATTAATATGAATCATACTAGGTATTAGATTTTTGACAGTTATTAATCAAAATTCGTGCTAGCATGAAAGTGCCGGGACCTCCATAATGAGATTTGAGGTTAAATTATAAGATGAAAATGAGTTTTATCATAATAAGAACCATTGTAAGGGCAGAAAGCACCTGTGAAAATGATTCATTTTGATGGGTTCCTCCCTAACCCATGGTCCACATCTCAGAGTGAGGGCACTTCACTGCGAAATTCGTAACAAATCAAATATCTCACTTTTACGATGCTTCAAACGTGCCTCTCAGCGTAATTTAATGGTGCCAGAGGGCCACTTTTAAAGCCCCACCCCGGGGCCGCATGGACTCAAATTTGTCTGTAAAAGTAAAACATGGTATAAATATGTCTATACTCAAGGATAATGCTCGAAGAGATTGTTAGATAACGGATTAAACACTTTTGCAAGACTTTAAAGTGACCCTCCCATCCGCTTTCAAATTATTTTTTTTATCCCTCTTTCGAGAGCGTAGGGGCCAGAGAAACAGGTTGCGTGACCAAATATCACCCAATTTGGTACTAAATGGGTCAGAGCTGTTGGAAAAATACAATTTTAGTCGTTAGTATCGACATAATTTTTCCCATTCATGTTTGTGAAAATCGCTCAAAAGTCCGTCTTTAAGGTCAAAAATTTCAATTTCCTCAGTTTTCCTCAGTCTGTCACCCCTGAATCCTGAAAATACCCACTTCGGACTATAACATTCCGCCTTAAACCGCTTGAGCGCAGTTGAGCGTAAAAAGAAATCGGACTCTGAATTTCGAAAAAAACGTTTACTTTTACATAACTTTTAAACCTCCTGTGAAAATCACTAAAAAAGGAAATTTCGAAAATACTGTGATTAGTTGTGTAGAATATACCCCTAAGAATGTGTTGCATATCGCCGAAGTTCCCTTTTATGGCCGCACAGTTGAAGTAAACTGATCGACGAGTAGCGCGCCAAAACATATCAAAATGATCGCTGAGAATAAGGTGACTTCGTGGTCCCTTCGCGGGAAATTGAGCCACTTGAAAAATGGTACATACACGTCTACCAGGGTAAAAAACAGTGTAGATTTCGAATATCACATTGGTTTTCCAATAAAAAAAAATTTAAAATTGAGGTTTTGGCCAGGTTTTTCGGTCAAATACCACAGTGTGCCGCGGGGGCTGCCCAACCCACATCCTGAGAGCCCAACCCCCTGGGAGCTGCCCCCCTTGGAAAACAAGGAGCCCAATCCCCCGGGGGCTGCTTCATCTGGCATCAAGAAGCCCGACCCCTCGGGGGCTGCCCCACCTGAAATCCAAGAAGCCCATCCCAAGGGGCTGCCCCCCTTAAATTGACATACAAGGAGCCCAACACCCCCAGGGGTCAACCTTGGATCCAAAAAGCCCTACCCCTTGGGGGCTGCCCCACCTGACATCCAAAGAGCCCAACCCCTCGGGGGCTGCCTCACCTAACATCCGAGAAGCCCCACCCCCGAGGGCTGCCCCCTTTGGCATCCAAGAAACCCAACCCCCAGTTGCTGCCCCCCTTATCATCCAATGAGCCCAACCCCCGCGGGCTGCCCAACCAGACATCCAAGGAGACCAACCCACCGTGGGCTGCGCCCCAGGCGATACGCACATCTACACTTCCACCATCGAACTAGCATATCAAAATAAGCAGTTTGAACTGCGCGCCAAATCGAACTCCCACTTGTACGTCATCAATATGGCTGGATGTGCTTTGTTGCCAAGCTTAAAACACTAATAATTTTTCTATCGATTGAATAACTTATTAATTTTCACAACTTCGCAACTGTGGGCTGTGGGTAGTGTAAGTAAACAATAAATTCCTCAGATGATAACGCGTTGGATAACACCGGCCAGCTAACTAATAGTTGGATTAAATATTGTGATGTGATTCGATATCTTTTTTTACAATGTTTTTCTAAATCAGCTTGAAGTTTTCATCTGTTATTTTACGTCTCTAGCATTATTATTTGTCTGCATTTACACCCTCATCAAAACCTGCAAGTTACAAATTAGAGGCTTCAAATACGGGTAGGTTATGTTATGCTAATCGGAATGGAATAAAATATTTTTAAATTGTGATATCATGCAATGATCTATCTAAATAACCATGCTGAAGTAGTTATCAATATTAATAATCTCATTCAATAATCGGTATGTGTAAACATCATTCACTCATTCAGTGCATCACATCTTGCAAGGGTATTGGTTTGAGACAGTCATTACTGGCACATAAGCACTCGACATCATCCAGAATTGATAATGATCCTACTCTCATCATTTCAGTTTGAGCTGCTAATATTTGCAATGGTTTATTGAGTTGTCATTGCTATCTTTGATTGAACATACCCTCTAGGTACCGCACTGCTCTCTTCTCAGAAAGGCCGAGAATGACATTTTATCAATTGGTCAGTTGCGCCAGTCACAAATTCGTGTTTTGGCAGCTTCAGCATATAGGTTTACAAGCAACGCTAAGATCAATTCAAAGCCTAGAATCTTTGTCTATTTTCATCAAATAAATGTAAGGAAGTTTGTTGATGTTTTAATTTGTCACATATTTACAGTTCTGCAACCTGACTAGGGTGTCTACAAGTCCGGAAATAGTATTGATTTGTGAAGGGCGGTCTGGAAGCACTGAAGAAGTGTGGACATTGCAGAAGGAGATCCGGAATTTTTCTCATATTTGTCGTAATTTTAGCGAGAAATTCCAATTTTTGAAATTCTTCGAACTTTGTCAAATAGAGGTTCTGAAAAAGTACCTACTGAATTTTTATGTCGAGAATGGCACTGGAATTTTTTGGAATGTACTGAAAAAGTACTGTAAAAGTACTGATTGTTGGCCAGCCTGTTTTAGTAGACACCCTGCTGACAAAAACTCTAATCACTCACATGCAATCAGTTGTGTCAATTAAACTGATTAGCCTCATGAGAGTGTCCTTTTTTACTAAAGGTATTTAGTTTTAGTATCTCAAGTAATCACTTTAGGTTTTTTTGTCCTTGTTAGATTCTGAAGTACAACGCTCATTCCATCAATCATTCCATGATCAAGTGCCACCTAGATCGCTGCTGTGCAATATTTGACAGATCTGTCCGAAGATTTGGATCCTCAGCTTCATCAAAGGTAGTTAGAGGCATCAACATTTTTTTAATATTTTTCAGATTTTTCTTTCCCTCTCTTAACGTTTTCAACCTTAAAATACCAACATGATGGCTAACATGAGCTGGAATTTAATTGTTCTTTTTGAGAATTATTGAATTCTGGAAGAGAGAAACAAGTGTAAGAAGTGAAAAAGTGGAGTCTTTAGTTTTTGAAAATGCATTTGATGTATGTTCCTAAGCTATCATAACAAGATTATCAGGCACTGGTTGTAGTGGAGTATGCAAGCAAGCCTCGTTTTGAGAAAAACGTGTTTCAAGTTTTACCTTGTGCGTAAAACATCGATTTTTTCATAAATACAGAAGGTTTTCTTTACCAGTTCATGGTTTGAACCCTTCCTAAAAAGTAGACATGCATACATTTATCAAATAATTTAATTTTATGTGTTTTGTAGATGTTTTAAAAAGTTATGTAATGTACTGTTTTTGCACCTAACAGTTGTACTTGTGGAAATTTGAGTGAATTTGAGAGAAAAATGAAAGAATGACGAATTTTTAGCATGATTTGATTGAATGATAATGTAAATACGGTAATTCTGAAGAAAGTAACTTCTGAAAATAAAAAAATTATCAAAGGAAACAAGTCATTTTGGCTTATTAAAGGAATAATAATACAAGAATGAGATCTATAAAAAGTAGATAACTGTCGTAAAGTCACTGAAGGGGGAATATATTTTCTAGAATATGTTTAACTGTGTTCAACTATGTTTGTATCTCCTAGAGAATTTCTCTCAATTAACTTGTGTCCATCTCTAACAATTTTGATAGAGGCCTGCTGAGATTCTTTAAACTTTTTCAAACTGATGGACTGCAGATCAGCGATGAAAATTAGAGCTCTTAGTTGTTCTTCGTTGTCATAGGTACCCTTTTTAACATTCGTTTCGCTGATTTTTAGATTTTCAGAAGAAAAAATAATAAAATAAATGATAATTCTGTCATTCAATAGATAAACATTTTCCCTGTATTTTAACAAGAAGACAGAAGGAACACCAGTGATGATTGTTGCTTTATCTGCCCCCAAAGTTGAGAAAATGATATTAAATCAGTTTTTTTTATTTTACTCGAAATCTGAAGGGCAATCACCTTGTAACCGATTTTTTATTTTTATTTTCAGTGGAGGAGTTACAATCAGCCTCACAACATAGCTGCAGTACCATACACAAATCAAAATACTTACCTGAATACGCAGATCTGTTTGTTTTACCTCAGTGCTTTGCTGAGAACTGTTTTTACTCAAAATATCCCAAGCCTCTGCACAGCTAACTATAGCAACATGACCTCTGACTATGACAAAGCAACGGAAGCCACATGCCGCCAAGATAGCTACAAATTACTTCCGATTCTACGAAAAAGCAGTCACAAAGGAGAAGCTGGAAGAGTCGGGATCATTGGTGGGTCAGTTGAATTTTCAGGCGCACCGTATTTTTCCGCGATAAGTGCCTTAAGGGCAGGCGCAGATTTAGCTTATGTATTCACCGTAGAAAAAGCAGCTCCAGTAATAAAAAGTTACACACCAGATCTCATGGTGCTGCCTTTCTTAGATAAGCCTCCCAGTTTATCTTTGCCTTTCCTTGCGCGGCTACACACGCTGGTCATCGGTCCAGGATTGGGTCGCGACGAAGAAGTTCAAAAGTCAGTTTTCAGTCTCTTGACAGAACTGAATCGGTTAAAAGGGACAGCTGGCATTCCATTAATAATAGACGCAGATGGTCTTCACATGATATTGAAAAACCTAGATTTTATCAAAAACTATAGCGGGAAGATATATTTAACACCGAACGTCAATGAATTTCGTCTCCTCTATACTTTCATGAAGGGTTCGTTGCCTATCGGCCCGGAAGATAGCATTAGTTTTGATCATGTTGAATTACTCACTGATAAATTGGGCAGTCACGTTACAATAATTGTAAAGGGGCCATCAGATCTGATCGTTAAGGGTGACTCGTATGTACAGTGTACCGTTGAGGGGGGACTGGGGCGCTGCGGTGGGCAAGGAGACATTCTTGCTGGTATTTTAGGCTCCACTGCTCACTGGGCCTTCATTAACGATTTCCCAGAGGAAGACAGTCATTGCGCTCCCGAAATGCTGGCCGGATACATTGCTTGTATGATTGTTAGAAAATGTGTAAATAAGACTTTTAAAGTGTTAGGGCGCAGTATGGAAACTTCAGATATTTTATGTCAACTACCATCCATTTTCAAAGATGTGTATGGTAGCAATTGGTGAGACCCGACTTTGTTTCGCCATGAACAGAGATTCTCTTCCTGAAATCACCTCCGCTTGTCTTCCAAGAATTGTATTTTTTAACTGTTCCAATGGTTGTCCAGCTTGATAACAACTGCAGAATGTTTTAATTTGTTTTTTGTGCCGTAGAATCGACACAAAGATATCAAAAATTAAAATCCTCCTGTTACTAAATTTACACTTTTTAAGCTTTACCACCCTACATCCAGTATAAGTACCTCTCTGTAAATCTCAACATTCTTTTAAAAAGCTGAAATAAAGTGTGAGTGATCGTGTAATGGTTTTGATTTTTTTTTTTGAACTTTTTAAGGAGCCAGTTAGGCGATGAGATGAGATCTAAGCTTGCACCCTCAGAACTGCAGTGACTTAGAAGGTGTTTAAAATATGTGAAGTTGTTGTTGTAATTATTTCCCCACCAAACCAGCTTCTCAATAGTTAGAAATTTACAGCTTAAAATACATATTTTTGTGAAAGAGATGTTCAAAGTTTTAACCAACCATGCTCTCAGCTTCAAATCATTGGATTATTATGAAACCTGACGCCGTCTACTGGCTTAGAAATGGACTACAAATTCGAAACTTATCATCACCAATGAAATGTAGTGTGTTTCTCATTGGAAATCTGTGTTACAATTTTTTGATCTGACTGGATAGAAATTGCTTTCCCAACAAAGGAGCATGTGGCACAAAGGTACTTTCTCCCAAGAATAGTTACGAGTTTTTCTTGTTTTTAAAATACCGCTAAATAAAGGCAACTAAAAATAAACCAAAGCAAGTTTTGAAAACTTTATTGAATTTGATGTGCATGGTTTCCACAAATTTAAAGTCACTGGCATCGGGTCTTCTCTAAATTTGAAAGAGGACAAATGGACCTGTCATTAGAGGCAGCCTTGCTACAGCTTACAAACAAAATGTATGCTCGGTGTGAATTTTGAGAAAATTTGAGAGAAACTTTGATCAATGATTAATGTAGTGACTAAAATTAGAGTTACAAGTATGAAAAGAAAAAAACAAATACTTCCTTGAAACTAAAATTAAAATCCTCATCATATTACACTTTAATAAGAAAGCGGGACACTAAATGCATTGAAGTTCCATTTCAGCTCTAGCTACTGCTGCAGAAACAAACTTGGATTCCAAACAATATTTTCAGACTCCCATCGGACACAAGTGAGGTTTTCAAAACTTCAACACATTAAAATTTTTCTCTAAGTGAAGTAACACACAAGTTTTCAAATTTTAAATGCAGTCATTGAACTTCAGGAATGCAAAAACATTTTTTCGCAGTATTTATAGGTTGCTAAATACATCAGTTTATACAGAAATAAACTGTGTAAAGTAAAAAGATCATTATTTCTACTTTAAATTCTTTGCTACCAGGAATATTTAGTTTTATAAAAAATTGCCTCTTACTTCTAATTCTTACATTTATGTCCTGCATTAAAGGCCATCATAAATTCTTGTAGGTGCTGAAATTTTTCGATAAGATTATCCTATAATGGGCCTGTTGCGAACTTTTGCTAGAGCAGAAATAAGAGTTGTTTCTATCAGTAAATGTCTCAAAATTGACGAGCGCATTGGCAAAGTTTGAAATGCACTCCTAACATCACAATCTGCATAAGAAAATTGCATTTCTTTGAGCTTCTCACTTCAAAAATGATACTACAGCACAGGTGAACATACATTTCATTAGAGGAGTTGTTTCATTCAACCCTTCCGGAATAGCAATACCAAACATAGCCAACGCTTCTGCGCGCAAATCGCTGTCGGGAACACAAAGTCAACCAAAGCGGATCTTTATCATCGCAAAGAAATCGTGAATGTAAACACGCTGGGTTGTTAGCAAATGGTTAGAATCTCATGCAGACACATGTGTTTTGGCGGATTGGTGTCGGCCATGTTGAATATTGTGTAGTATCCTGGTGCACAGGGGTTAGATAGAATGACACCTCCAATGAAATGTTCATCTATGCTGTAGTATCGTTTTTGAACCGGGAAGCTCAAAAAACCGCAAATTTCTTACACAGATTGTGAAGTTAGGAGTGCATTTCAAACTTCACCAATGCGCTCATCGTGATTTGTGAAACATTTACTGATAGAAACAACTCTTATTTTTGCTCTAGCAAAGTTTGCAACAGGCCCATTTCTGGAAATCAGGTCAATATTAATTTACAAGAATGGATAAATCCTCAATGGAGAATTTTCAGACAAAGTTAAATCATAAGGATTGTGTGTAAGGGGCATATTACACAATGCCTCCATATGTAGTCTTCCCTACTTTTTTTCCTTTTTTTTTTAAATTCAGTAAGCAAGGAAAGTCTGTTGCTACCAAAGTTTCATGTTTCCACGAAACTGAGAAATTTTAGTGATAGATTTCAAAAGGCAAATAATATATATAATAAATTAAATAAATAATGAACTCCTAGCTCTCTATTTCAAAATGCTTGCTGTCATTGGACAGCAAGGAGGGAAAAAGAGACCAAAGCTACCGACAAATTATTGAAAATAGCACATTCGATTTCTTAATTCAAAGCTTAAAACTGAGAAATAAATAGTTGGCAATACTGAAACTCAACTCCTCTGATCGGAAGAAAATCTTCAGAGCATACGATGATCATGATGTGAAACAAGTTAAAACGTTTCTTTCTCACTTTCTCTAATTCGATTGTCTCTCAGGTAACGGAACTTCTCAATGACATGGCTAACAGTGAATTCTCCATGGACAATATTATCACGGGTACGGATGTTGACTGTTCCGTTGGCCTCCTCTTTCGCTCCAACGACTGAAATATACAAAGACAAAAAAATTTACAAGCTAAAACTTGAAAGTCAACAAATCATTAAATATTCGCTCCAACATTTCATGTTTTTATTTATTTGGTTGTAATGAGTCAAATTTGATTAAGAAATATTTGCTCCAAAATTTCATGTTTTGATTAAGGATCGAAACCCTTTTCTCGAAAGATAAAAGTTTTTTTTTTTTTTTTAAGCAGCAGTTGGTGAAATAATTTCTCCTCCCAGGTTTTTTCTTGATTATGATGAGAAAGATGATTTAATAATATTATTGCTGCTACAGCTTAGATTCAATTTTTTTTCTTCTTTTTTTGAAGGATTATTCACATGAGAAAATAAAATCCAAGAGGAACATGGACTTACCAAAAATATAGTTATATTGTTCCACTTGAGCATTTCGAATCCTCTTGTTTAGTGTATCACCAAGCTCGATATCATCATCGCAGTTGAAACCCGCACTGAAGACCTCCTCTTTAACCTGTTGAAAAATCAGAGGAAAAGTGACAGAGTATAGTGGCAAAGTTAAAGCAAATACAACACCGCTACCAGCCAAAATAAGGACCATACCTCTTCGAAGTAAAGGACACTGTGCACAAAACCAAGAAATTCAGCGGCAGCTAAATTTTAAGATTTTTTATACGATGTTCCATACAACTTCACAAGGAGGATAAGCTTTTAAAATTGAACTTTCCGTGTATTTCTTGGCAATTTAATTTGTGTAATCATACCCTCAGAGAAGTGGAATTGCTGAATCGAGAATACAAAGACTTCTGTTTTGAATTGGGTTGGCGCACTAAATGCTGCGATGGATGTTCGTCTTATCTTCCTGACCAAGGCTGCAAATTACTTTTACCAAGGCTAGTAATTACTTTATGATGAGATAAGGTATATAAAAAAATTAAACAGATCATGTGAACTGAATTTTTTTTTTTTTCTTAAAAAAACTCAATTTTGAGCCGATTATGTAAAAATGAACAGTCCCCCCCCCCTTTCTATTTCCTTCCTCATCAAAACAGGTTCAGCTTAGGTTCAAGAACTTCAGCGGAAGCTCTCTTTCAGACTAACCTTGTGAGCATAAGCACTGAAGGGCGGAGCTACAGGAATGACGATGGCTTGTCTAGGTGATAGCCAGAATGGCCACTTTCCGGCAAAATTTTCCGTTAGAATTGCAATCATTCTTTCTACTGAACCATAGATTGCCCTATGGATCATCACAGGTTTCACTTTCTCACCGGCCTCACTGAAAAAATAAGACAGAAAAATTTCAATTGAAATTAGAAGATATAATTGCAAAAGTTACGAGTGATGGAATCGATTGCATCGGTAAAAAGGAGGAGAGTACCCTGCTAAGAGAACAGGAAAATTCGGCATCGGCTAAATTTCTTTACGATTTGAAATGATGTTCCTAACGATCTCTTAAGGACGATGAGCTGTTAAAATCGAATTATCTAGATGGAGATGCCAATAAGAGCGGAGCTAGAAAATTAATGGGTCCGCATTTTCTTGTGGAGATGTGGGACTAACACTGCATGTGGATGCTGCTCACTATCATCATTTGGAGGAGTTCCAATAGTTTCGTCTATCTTCCTGCCCAGCGAATGAACAAAAGCTCTTTGCGATCACTAATTAGCTTTGGCAAAATCTTTACTTCATAATAAGTGTAAAAATGCTAAAAAATTCATTTACCAGCTCTGCTCATCTTAAAATGGACACAAAGAAAGTTGAATTTTTAAATTTGGAAACCTAGGAGGTCATAGAGAACAGGAAATCAAATAATGATGAAATTTAGTCAGCATTGAATTGGTGGCCTGTGTTGCAGATAAATGACTCGCTACTTTTCTTGACTGTTTGTATGGCACGGGGCATGTTCTCATTTTGGCAATACGTTGTCCACGAATTCACGTTTTTATTGAACTGAATGAGTCCATCGTATTCATCATCATGTTGATCATCATATTTATGATAGGGACAAAATTATGTGTCTGTGATAAGCGATTTTCAGAAGTAAATGAAAACCTAAATGTAATTTAAAAGACTATCACTTTAATGAAATTTAAGCACTAAGAATGAAATTGGAATTGAACGCCATGGTGTCTAGAATTCTTTACTGTGTTCAATCCTTGATTTTCCCTGATTTTCAGGAGCTCATTCCCTGATGAGAAACCAAGTTTTTTTTCTCACTTCTCTGGAATTTTCTTGAGAAAAACTAGAGTTCCAGATATGAACATCGAATCGTTATCATCTTTCAGCCGATTTTGCAGCGCACATTCAAATTCGGAGAGCGTTCTTGATGTGGAACTTGTCAATGAAAACTTCTCTATAAATATAGTGATTTGAAGATTCAAAAATGTCATTTAAAAGGTCAGTAATGACTACTCAGATGCAATAAGATAAAATTTAATGACAAAAGGCAAAATTTGAAGAAAAAATTATTTCTCAGCAGTGTAAGAAGAAATTCCCGATTTCTGAAACAACTTCTCCAATTTTCCCTGAGAGTTTTCATTCCCTGATGAATCTCGGTTATTCCTAGTTCTAGACACCATGGTTGAAACAATGGAAGGGGACAGAACTTACTTAATATAACTGAGATTAAATCGAATGGGCAATTGAAAATCTAGCTGGATTGTCGCACATTGATGAGACCTCCTCAAAGCGTCCTTGATAGTGATATCAATCTTTGGGCCGTAGAAAGCTCCATCGCCTGGGTTAATGATCCACGGCTCCCCAAAAGCATCTAAACTGTCTGATAATTGCTGGATGAAAAGAAAATAAAAGAAATGAGTAAAATTGACTCTTTCTGGCGGAGGAAATGGTAAATGAATGATTGATCTGAAACCATGCATGGCACAAAAAATGCGAATGCCAAAGAATTCAGGAGAGAGATATTTTAGGAATATTTTGCCGAAAGAAAACGCCCCCAAACATCACACTAAATCAGAGGTATAACAGCTTGAGGTTTGCTGTTCAAATAATGCTGTTTGGAAACAAAAAATTGTTGAAAATTTAACCTGTCATGTCAAAAGCTCAAAATGTATTTTAATACTCCCATGTAATAGAAAATGAAATTTTCAACGCTCAATTAATTCTTTCGGGTACAACTGACTGTACAACTGTAGACCAAAATTTGACAGCTGTGCCCATACTTTCCGGGTTACTGCCTGGATGAACACGTTTTACAGTTTGCTTCGAGAGAAAAGTAGGTAAAAAATTGAGTTTTCAAGATACATACCTTTTCTGCTTCATTCCACATCTCAATTTCACCCAGATACTTCTCTGGGCGGGTCGAGAGTTTGAGCTGAAAACTAAAACCGAAAACACCATAGACGCTTTTCAAAAAATCTAAGGCCCCAGTCATCTCAGATTTGATCTGTAAAAAAAGATTAAGTCAAACATGAGAGACAAGATCCTCTGTATTTTTCAAGACAAGTGAGTTTTTAAAAACTCAAATATTCCAACGAATGTCAACAAAAACTAGACTCTTTTCCTGAATGGATGGTGGAACAAGAAAAACTCAAAAGTGAAACTTTAGTACAACTTCGATAATACCACCTTGGGTTTACCAACTATCCTTGGGTAACTCATAAAATTTTAAGAGTCCAAAGAATTAATTTTAAGAAAAAATTATTTAAGCTAAAATCTGGTCTACACAACTGATGAGCTCGGTAAAATCAAGTTAGACCAAACAACTCAGCTCAGAACCATCCTAAGCACCACAAGAGGGATTTTTGAGTACATCCTGTCCCTTCATAAAGAGCGTAAATCTAGAAATTATCGGTCAAAAAATGTTAAAATTCGAAAATCAGGTCAAAACTACAGTTTTCAATTTATTGTTGATACTGATTGAACAGTATTTCTGAATCCATGAGATTTTGAAAGTGCTTTTTTTAAGAGCACGTCTTAGTGATATATCTAGTAGGTAACATTTTGACTTTTCAAAAATGAGCACTGAATGGCTAAGCGCTGCAATATATTGAAGCAGTGGTGAAGATCCACTATCAACAATAAAAGCAATATGGAGGTTCTTGATTCATCGGAAAATGTCTGAGTATAATTGGCACTTACTTGTGTTGGCATGCAGAATATATGCGCATCATCTTGCTGGAACCTGCGCACTCTGGTCAAGCCTGTGAGTGCACCTGATAATTCATTACGATGCAAAACACCAAAGTCAGCCATCCTCAGAGGAAGCTCTCTCCAGGATCGGTTCCGGTTATCGAAGATTAAACTGGAACAAGAGCAACAAGTTTTTAACAACTCTAATAGTGAGTACGTAAACAATTTTCACATGGTCTATAACAATGAGTAGACAATGCTGTATACCTTTTTTTTTTATGGGCAGCCTAAAACAGTGAAATCCTTACAGCCCAAAAGAATCCCTGAGTGACACACAAGACATTCCATTTCTGATTGACTAAAATTCAAATTCATCACACGTGAGGGCTGATTATTGAAATTGATAGACAAGGTGATATACAAAGAAAACATAGAGAAAATGGAGCAATCCTATTATTTCCTCTATCATTTTTCTCCTTCGTCATTGGTCGTATTTTGTTCGGAGGCAACACTCGCAACATAAGAAAACAAGCAACAATCGCATTTTTTTCGAAGTTGCTTTGTGTTGTGGGGGCGGGGCTTACTTGCGCGCGCAAAATTTGGGAACCCCTACAGCAACATTGTTGTACAACAACTGCAATGTGCTCAAAGCACGTTTTAAGTTGTTCTAAAAAGCAACGCTGTTTTCTTACCTAAAATTGGAAGTTGCTCTTTGATTAGTTGTTCAGAATCACTTAAAAAAAAACAAGAAAAAAACGGAAACATTTCGTTGATTCCAATAAACCACAACTTACAACAACCACCCGCTTTAACCAATAGGATCGCTCTATTTTCCCTACGTCAATTGATTTCAATTAGCAACCCACTAAGGTTTCTTTCGTAGTCTTGAGCTAAACGGTTACTTACCCTGTAAGTGACTGTCTGCAGAGATGGAAACTTATATTCCGTGGCAAACATCTCAGAGGAGCGACTGTTGTCAGGTTGAGTCCTTGTGAAATTTGGTAATTTGAATTTTTGATGAAAAATGTTTAGTTTAGTAACCCTCTCGGAGCAAGGGGGGTTGAGGAGTGTTTCGCCATTTTGTTTCTACGTCTGGAGGAATAGGGACCTTCATCACAAAAGTGTTACAAGGGGAGAAGGGAGAGCATTAGGTATTATATGAATGACTCCAAAAGTCTTTTAATTACAAGATTAATAGTGCCTAAAAGTTAACACCTAAATGCCTGCCAAAAAACTCATAATATGAAAAAATGGACGGAAGCAGTTTTGGAACAAATCGATTCAATTAAAACCTATAATTTAAATTATTAATTATGCTTTCAACTTGCAGTTGTTCATCAGACAGTTATTCAAAAAAGGAATATCATAAACCAAATATTAAAACTTGGAAATTCTTACCAATGGCCTGGACAGTTCATAGGTTTCAGAGCAAATTTTTCTTTTTCTACTTCAAAGGAGAACATGTTTTCCTGAAAAATGAAAGAGAGATGTAAACAAGTGTTAGTTATTTGACTGTCAATGGATGGTCAAAGGTTTGTAGAAATACTTTCAGATTTTTTGTGTAGTTAAAAAAACTAGCCGTTACTGGTATGTTGTAAAAGCAAATAATGATACAGCCCTTCACACAAGAATAAAAATTCTGATAACTTAAATAGAATACTCGTACTCTGAGTAGTACATGACTGTGCATGGCTATTAAAAAAAAATTATACTTTTTAGGTAAAAGTAGGGTTGTGTGAACCTTTGAACAGTTCAAAATAGACCGTTGATTCGTTTTTGGATTGATTTTACAATTTTGGTTAAGAAATTCCTAACCTTTAAAGAACGGTTTTTCACATGGCATGCACTCGCAAATATGTGTAGTTTGTAGCAGGTGCTGGTGATTTTTGGTACACTTTAGCAATTTTTCAGTTGCTTACAAGTGGTTGTGGTTTTTCAGCTGTTTTCTAGAAAATATTTTTGGTTTGGTGAAATCTTTCATGTTTTGCCGATGGGTCTCTTTGTCGAGAGGCGAATGGTAGGGGGGCCAGAAAATTTTTAATGCTTTTTTCTTGTAAATACTATACAGAGGAGGTGGGAGAAAGAATTTAAAACAGTCTTCACCTACATTCATGTATAATCTGGGTCTCTTAATTGAGGCACTGGATGCGAAAAGAGCACTTCTCGGTTGCAGAGTTTCAGAGTCTCCTCTACTATTTCATTCGTTGTAAGGAAAGTGAATGCATCCATTTTACTAAACATTTTACTGAATATTCCTTGTGATTCTAAAATTTTCAATGGAAAGAATTCGGGAAAAACCACCCATTAAAGTCATCTCCAAGGGATTAATTAGCAACAGAGCTTCTGAAACACTGCAATTGAGTAGTGCCCTTTTTGCATCCATTGCCTCAATTAACACTCTGTCGAGAGTCCGCTATGGTCTTTAGCTATTGTGACTTGCCATTGAAAAGTTCACTTCCAGACATTATTTTTTTTTTTCATTTTTTAAGACAGAGCTAAAAGAAGAAAAAAAAAAGTATCATGTCATCGCACATCTAAATTTTATGATGCTCATTGGCCAAATACTTACAGCATAGTGAGTCCAATGACCAGATGTTTCCCACAATTTTGTGTTATAGATGTTTGGTGTAACAACCTCTTGGAAGCCACGTTTGCGATATTCAGATCTGATGAAGTCGATCAAAGTGTTGTAAATGAAAGCGCCCCTAGGTTGAAAGAAGCATGAGCCAGGACTCAGTTCATGGAAGAAGAAAAGCTCTTGCTCCTGAAGAAATAAAATTTATAGAATTAAAGTACGGTTTATATTATTCCAAAGCGATTTTATGGACAAAAGAGGTTGAAGTAACAGTGAGAGCATGTTTCCAAAATTTGTTATTTGTATTACTTTTTCACAATCAAGAAACATCCAATGAGAGAACTGTCGAAGGCAGCAAGGTTAAAAAACTCACCACAGTTATTAGAGCCCACTTGGAGCACACTCAAATTATTGCATATCAAAATGTTACAACAGCATAGCTCCATCAACTAACAATCCGTCTCACTCCAAGAAAATATGACTTGGATAAACAATCGCTTCCATGCTAAAGGCGTTGACAGGATGTAGGATGCAGATGATTTTTAATTAACAGATTCTGAATCTGCTGGAAATAAACTGGAGCAAATATTTATTTTGCATTTCCAAAATATTATAAACCTCTCAGTAGAGTTATTAAAGTTTGAAGTTATTAATAGAATCAGAATCAGATGATGGCACTAGTCAAGAGGAAGGGGTTGGATGGAAAATTGACAACTGATTCAAGATACACTTGTAGCGCTGATTCCAAAAATGACCTCTGACTTCCTTGACCAAAGAAACTGATTGAAGCAAACACTTACCCTTCCAAGTTTTCTATGATCCCGCTTAGCAGCTTCTTCTTGAATTCTTTCCCACTCTTTCAACTGCTTAGAATCTGGGAAAGATATTCCATACACTCTCTGCAAGTTCTCAGCAGTTACATCTCCTTCCCAATGAGATGCTCCAGTCTAGATTCATTGAGAAATTAAATCAGTTTCATGCATTATTCAAAAATAAAAGAAAAAGAATAAAAAGACTAAACAGGGATGCAGAAAGTTCTGAATCGCCAAATGCTTGATGCAATCCCATGTTTTCGCCTCCATTTCCGATTCTCCTCCCTGCCAGGTCGAATTTTACAGCAAAAGGCACTGTTTTGCAAAAAAAAATCATAATTTTTTGACATTGCCTTAATGACCCACGATTTGCCTTACAATCAATGTGATCATGGGATCGGAAGATCGGGCATTTTCAGTACCCCTGAGAATAAGAATAAAGTATCTTATCACCTCCAAGAAAATAGATCTTAGAGCCAAAACACTCTGAATTGCAAATACTGGCACTACTAGAGAAGTGTTCTGTAAGCATTTTTCACTGTTAATTCATTTCACTCTTTTTTCCTTTTTAAAAAGGATACACACTTGGCACTTCTATTAGAGAAGGACCTTGGCATTTCTCACGTAAAGTGAGTATGAATGAGAAAAGCAGGCAAATCAGTACGCTAAATTCCAGAAAATTCAAACTCATTTTTGAAAGATATTTCTGGGACTATTTCAAAACTTTTGCGGTAGATTATATTTTTGTCAAGAGAAGTTATAATTTCCTTTTAAAAATTTAAACATTTTTACCTATAGAAAGCTGTATAATAGACACTCATCTCAAATGTACAAGTATGAATTAGATAGGTTCATAAGATTCTTTTTCATAGCTTTAGACGTTACAATGATTTAAACTTCTGAACATCGCATACGTTCGGACAATCAAAGCTTTATTAAACTTGAATTTGCCAGGCTGAAAACTTTCACATTTATTACAATGAAAGAAAAACTAAACGTTATTGATCTGAAAGAATTTACATGACCCTCTTCCCTTAATTTAAAATTTTTAGGCAAAGATACTGGTTTAAGAGGAGAACATAGAAAAATGCAAGGTTTTATAGTTTAACTATTAATGAGCATTCAAGAAAAAACATAAATAGAGTCTTCTTACAATGAAGGGCAAATACGAACCTTTACAACCTTCAGAGCTTTGACCTTTCCTGTATCTCGAACATGAGGCCCTCGGCAAAGATCGATCAATGGACCACACCGGTACACAGTTGTAGTTGGTGTATTTACTTTCTCGTTCAAGATACGCACTTTGAATTTGTTATACTGCAAAATGACAAATAATTCTCAGTTACAAGTACTTCGACCATGATATCAGAAATTTCCGAAACATTCACTCAGTTCTTTGCTTATAGTTGCTGATGAATGTTGAAATCCTTGTACCTGAGACAACTCAGGAGATTTTGAGTGAAATAGGTCTCAAGGAACATCTTTAAATTCTAGTCTAGAACTTGAGCCAAGCTGAGATTTCTGAAGGGCAAGCATCTCAGTGGCCGATTCTTAAAATATCCTAACATGTTGCTTAAACAAGAGAGAAAAACTAATATACTTAAATTCACAGGGAAAATGATTTCTAATATCATTTTACTTTTTCTTTTAATTAAGCTACTGGTTATTGAGACAATTTAATGAAAAGAGAAAAATTGCAAAAGTAGGCGCCATGTTTATTTCTAAAACTTCAGGTCTTCATTTGGGTCAAATTTTGAAGATCAAATGTCTCTCAAAAATCTTGAGTGGAAATCTTTAAGTTCAATTCAAAATATTAAAAACATGTAATAATCAAAATATGCCAACCTTGAACATTTCCAGTAGTTCAGCTTTGGTCAGTTCCAGTCTTTCGAATGGCTGTTTTTCTTTCACAGCACTTTTCATTACATTTTCGATGACAGGAAAATCTCCGTTACAGACCTACAAAAAATAAAATCATGAATTAGTTTTTTTTTTGTTTTGTTTCAGTTCTTTAATTTCTTTTTTTATTTTTGATCAGTTAAGCTCTCACACTCCCCAACGCCCGTCCTTAAAATTCGTCTGTTCCTCCAAAATAATCAGATTTAACTAAGACACAGAATAATATGTATATGAAAGTCTCTTTTGATGGATTACACAACAAAAAAAGAGCGAAACCTTGTGTCTCTGTTTGCGACCTTGCAGATTTCCTGTCATTCTCTTTTTTCCCTTTAGAAAACTTGTCCATGTAATTTCTTGGAACCTCACTTGATTATTCTTCTCTGTCATCAGAATATTCTAAATGAATTTCAAGTCATAAAGTTGGCTTGTTTAGCTTTTAAAAAAAATGTTAAGAGCAGAAATCTGGAAACACTACAATGGAGGAACGTAATTTTGCACTCAGGCTATCACTATTAGAATTAAAGTATCACAAACTTGTTTCACACAAAACACAAATCGAAAATGCTAATATCTACCTTACAAGCTGAAATTGGAAATATTGAAAAATCTAAAATATCCAGCGTAATATGCCTAAAATTTTGACAAGAATGCATTTCGTATTATGCTTTATTTCTGACCTTATCTATAAATCCGGTACATTTACTTACATGATGTCCAAACATGTGATTAGCAAGAAACCATAAATACTGACAAAGGGTGTCCCATGAGTTTCTGATGAGAGCCTGATGCTGTGAATTTAGAACCGAGGTAGTTACTGAGTAGATCTTGGTTTCATTTTAAGACTTAGATGTGTCATTTCTGATCGATTGAGTTCAAAACCATCATAGTATGATCATTATATACCTGATTATTTTCAAGATGCATGTCATAGTAAAATCCATTCTCTATAGGTGGTCCGTAACAGAGACAGCCTCCATAGACACGTTCCAAAGCTTCCCCTAGAATATGTGCGGTGGAATGCCAGAACACCTGTTGCGCTGAAAACAAAGTGTTCAATACATTAAACCTGAAATCAACATACAGCACTCCCTCATGTATCATGATCTATTATGTGCCTTAAATGGAATTTTTAGGGGGTGAAGGAATTCATGAAAAATAAAACAAAAAAATTACAAATAAATTAAGTTAAAAAATAGGAGAACTTATTCATTTATAAAGTTTTCAGATTTAGTTTTATTACCTAAAACTTGAGTCACCCCAGAGAGAGATGCATGATAACCTAATATAAATAAACTAACAGTCTTGTGGACTATTACAAATTTTCTTGGCATATGATTTCTATTGAATTAGAGCTTTGTTTTTGCGACAAAAAGATTTGAAGAGGATATCAACACTAGAAAACTATTCAAATTATACACAAGAAAATTTTTTACAAGATTGTTTGATTACTCTGGACAAATCTAGTCGCCAGCGACAAAAAAACTGCCCACAGACGAGGAAAATTTGAAAAAGTGTGATACAAGATACACCAAACACATATCGAGTTGTGAAATTCAGACTTTTTATGTGCTAATCATTATTTCCTTGCGACTTTATCTTTGGAAAGTCAATTCACTTGGTTGGTTCTTCTGCAATGACAGACCCACTTATCAGCAGAATCACAAAAAATCGCAAAATACGCAAAAATCAGAAAATTTTGAGGTTAACATATGTTAAACCATATGATACCAAAACACTAAAACAAGGCAACAAATGACCTTACAAAATAAGATAGGGGTTGGTCAAACTATTGATATAAATATTGACGAGTACAAGGTCTATCGTAGAGTTATTATAATATTGTTAACATCGATACCAAGTTGACCAACAGAGCTGTCAGTTCAAGACTTGCTCAACTCAACTTACCATCTTCATTATCAAATTTAAGTAACTGTAGATTGCAACTACTTTCAAGAGGTCGATCCAAGTCCCATAAAATTCCATCTACTTTGGCAATGACAGTGTTGTCGGCCAGTCCTTTGCTAGAATTAAAAAATAAAGAAAAGGTAAAATAAAGGTGGGGGAAAACAAGATACAAAATTCAACAGTTCATTGAGAAGTGTTACTCACAATATATTGTGATTGTAATCCCAATTAATTTCATAAATCGTAATTGAAGTAAAAATCCTTAATCGCACGGCTCTGATTAAAAGTTTAATAAGGACATCATTTTTTGTTGTGTTGTAGGATACAGCAACGATAAAAAAGTCTAATGGACATTTTGCAATTAGGAATTATGAATTCTGGCCCGGTTAAAAACAACGTATGCGCCATTAGTTTCCCTGTGCACATAAGTGTTTTTTCAGATGAGACAGAATTTATTCCAAATTGTAAAATGCAGTACATTTGATAATTTAATGACGCCCATTCAATTGAGATTGGCCGATTCTTTAATTCCACACAATCACAAGATAACTGAAAATGGATACTTTTCCTCATACTATGTAAAAAACATCATATTTAAATGAATTTTCTAGGATACACTTACACTCAAATGTTGAGATAGACCCATCTACTAAATCTTATCATTGAAACATATAACAGCCTATGTGCTTATATGTACCGAAAGTATTTGGACTTTTATATGCTTACCTAATTCCTAAAGCAATATCGTACGGCGTAGTTTTCCATGCCTCTGCTTCTATCTGCTTCCCATCAGGTAATGTAACTTTGATGGGGGTTTTTGGTTTTGCAGCTAGATCTTCTAAATACTTGGCTTTTAACTTGTCCCATAGTGATATCCTTTCCTGCGTTTATACAAAGAACAAAAATACATAACAGTGCCATAGAGGAGTTATCTAGCATCCTCAAGAGCAAGGCGTTGTTAAAGTTGAAGTCAACTTAACAGATGTGGGTCAGTGGAAAAGCTGTTTTGAAGACGATTTATCAGATCTGGTGAGCAAGCAGGTTTGATTTTTTAACTTTTAAAATTATAATAACATTCATTCAAGCTCTTCCATTTCAAACATAGAGTACAATAGAGTAGCTATAGGCTGGAGCGTTGATGAGGTGACTTTTTGAGGTGGTTCTGTCCAGTGCTCTTCAGACTAGTGTGTGGCAACTGGTGATACCGTATGCGCAGATTTCCAGCTCCTAGCTTCTTTCAGGGTGTTTAGGTAAACAACTGATTACATTAAACTGATAGTTCCATACATTTTTTTTTTAATTTTTTGGGAGTTACGTCAACATAACAAAAATTTCCCAGAATAATCACTGATTTAATCAAAATGATTAAATCCCAAAAAGCACTCACAGCCCATGATTCTTCCATAAGCCACTGTGTTAAAAAATGCTGCATAGTTCACAGTAGGTTTACACTTTCGGCGAACAAGAGGCTGGGAATGCACCGTTCAACGATTGACTTCAGCAGTGTTACAGTGCGTAGCGACTCAGATGTGCTCTACCGTTTCAAATTAAGAATCAAACTTTTCAAAACTTCTCTATGGAAGGCCTGTTGACTCAGCAACCTGGAATATTGCCAATATTTCCTAGTGTTGCTACTTTTAGCAGAATTTTGAGCATTTTTGAGAGGCAATGCGATGGTCCCTAATTTTCATTTTGGAAACCATAGGTGGCAAAATTCTAGCGCATAATTATTTTTTATTATATCCTGCAGTTCTCTTTGACTGGCAGGTTAACTGTGTAGGCAGAAATACTACCCATATGGAAAAGAATTTACCTGAATGTAAGATGGCCATGGATTTAGCTCACTCACTGTCGACTTTGCAGGTCCTTTCTTGTCCTTCCCAGAGGTCTTTTTGCCTTCAGCTTTTTGCTGCAAACAATAAAAGAACAATTTAAAAAAGTACACAGAACATCTTACTAAATATAAAAAATTTGAACCTTTTATGATGAGTACTTTGCAGTGACCAAGAATCATTTAAACGAAGAACTTGATTAGAATTAAGAGGAAATGGAGGGCTTAATTAGGGGTGCAGAAAGGCTCAAGTGCTCGAGGTGGGGCTTGCAAGTGGCATGAGAAAATTCAAGAGTTTTCGGAGGAAATTATTTGGTGGAATGGTTTTCTGTTTTACCCACAGTAAAAACTGGAAATTAACAGAGAAGGAATGAAAAAAACACTAATTTTCTCAATTGTTCCTCTTAATGCAAAAATTTGATGTTTCTGCAGGGTGAGAAAAATTCCTGAGAAGGGGAAAATTTTGAAACTGCAATATGCTCTGAAGAACTTTCCGCAATCGCATATTTGAAGAGAAAGACATTGCAAGAACACAAAAGAAAGTATGCAAACTTGGGGCATCAGCAAGGAACGGTGAAAATTCTGACCTTGCTCCATACCAAGAAGCAATCATTTTTGGCAATAATTGAGTAACACACATATTAGAAGACAATATTATTTTGCGTGATACTATAAGAACAGAGCTGAACCAAAAATAGAAAAACGAGTCATGAATTCTACTTAAGTAAACAGAAAAATACAAACAGACTTGACTTAAAAAATGATTTGGGACAGGGACCAACTTGCTGTTTCAACTAGAGGAAGAGAGAGAGTAGAGAGGGAAATATCAGAGGGTTAAAATGATTCACTTTCGATAATTTAGATTGACTCTGAACGGGACTGGGCTCACAAGAGTGACACAAGAAAACCAAGCTGAGAAGTTTCGTGCACAAAACACTGGGTTGGGGAGAGGAGTAAGAATCGGATGAAACGAAAATAAATAAAATGCTCACCTGGGAGGTGGCAATGTCTCTGACAGATTCGATGGACATGTCTAACACAGAAAAGTTAGGACAAGAAGAAATCTGTAAGATTTTTCGGTTCACTCTGAGACTACTTCGAGAGATGAGAAGAAATTTCATCATAAACTGATTCATAATTCATTTCCACCGAGTGTTGGAGTGAGCAGAAACAGCTGGTCAATTTGACTAAGATTTTATCATCATGACCCATTGGGCTTTAAAGTGTCCCCTTCAGTGCTTAAAAACAAAAAAAGTCCTGAAAGTGGATTACACAGATAAAACAAAATGCTGAGTAACAAGCATGACTTCTTTTCATTAAAAATGGCGGTAGGTACCTCCTGTCAAGTCATCTTAGTCAGAAAATGGTACTCCTGCCACAGCTATTAGGTATACATGATTTTATAGAAAAATACTTAAAAAAAAAAAAAAAAAAAAAAAAAAAAAAAAAAAAAAAAAAAAAAAAAAAAAAAAAAAAAAAAATACACCACTAACGAAATCTAAACAATTATTAATTTTTGGGTGCTGCAGCCAAAATTGAAACCTGCCGAATTTTAACTTGAGTACACTTCAAAAGAAACCCTTTATTCATTCGGTAAACAAAAGATATTTTGCCTCTCATAAACAGGCAGAAATCTACTAATTGAGGTACCACATATTGAAGGTAAAACTGCAGAAATGCGCATCTGTTTGCAACATTGCAAACTTCCGGACACATTACTTTTCTACATAAGCCACTAGACGTAATTTCTTGAAAACTCCTGTGATTTTCCTTCTTAATACAAGGAGCTATATGTGAAAATTTCATGGCATGATATATGTTTGGTCTCCTTAAAAAACTAAAATAGGAGTAAGGATTTTGAAACACCGCAACCGAGGTACACATTTATGCAGATTCACTGTCAGTACTAAAATTGTTGGCAATTCCAACTGTGTCATGAGCAGTCTTTATATGCTTCAAGGGATGTTTTCCCCTAATTAGCAGTCCATTCTACTACTCAATCGTCTATTCGACAAAAAGTTTTCTTAAAAGAAGAAATGGCATTGCTGCATCTGACTTTTCCATTAGCTTTGGGGCAGTTCAATACAACTATCTTAGGTCTGAAATATAGCACTGACCACAATTTGATTCCGATTAAAAATAATATGAATAAATACAACACTAGCATTAATTATTAAGAATAGGCGGCTGATGCAACTGCAAAAAAACCGTTACAGCCTTCTACAACTCCTAATCAAAAAGTGAGGAATGCAACAATAGAAATTTATTGGGTTGGCGGTGGAGGGTACAGTTTAAATGAGACAATCACTAGTAAGTGATAAGAATCTAATAGTCTAGCCCTCTAGAAATACAAGCTGCACGCTCTGTGGGGAGTTCAGTGTTCAGGGGAGCAGAAAAACAATATCAAATTCAATGCAATTAGAAAGTGAACAATCATAGGAGATAGTTTAACTCAGTAGCCTACGGAGAAAATATTCGACGCAATCTAAGAATTTTTTCTATTCTTTCCTGCGTAAAATTTTTGGAGACCATTTGGCAGAATATAAATTGATAAAAACTTTACCTCTGGAGATTGAAGACTCATTGCAGAAAGGTTTTGAGCAACTTCTGTCATTTTGGTAAATCAGCTAGGAATAATATAACTAATTACATACGATGACTTATAATTTGCTGAAAAAATTCATGCACACGCGATCAATTGCGATCATCAAAAGACACGCACTCCGGTTTCGCAACACAACAACAAATTGCATTTTGAGGTTAGTCGTTTATCACATGTTTATCACCGATAAACAACCACCATCGTGGGGTTGATTGGTGATTCCAGATTCATTGTAATTCTAACCTAAAATAGTTCTAACCTTCCAAGCTTTATGGAAGTATTAAGAAAACAAAATTTTTTCTTTGGATTTCTGAAGTGTTTTATTGTGTAATTTGTCCAAAATTCTGTATCAACTAGAAGTTTAAGTTGCCTTATCATCAATGGTCAGAAGCAAGTAGTTTTATTGAGTTACACACTTTTTGCCATATTCGCAATGGCCAAAGACGATGATCTTCTCCCCGATGTAGATGCTGCGAAAGAATTCTATTCAAAATATGAGCCAAAAGAAATTCTTGGAAGGTGAGAATGGAATGCTTTGTCTTCACTTAGTCCCATAGGGATTGCTCAATTCCTCTGACACTTGCTTGCTCACCTCTTAAATAGATCATGAATATTCCAGTTACTGAGACTACTACTCTCTGTATTTCAGAGAAAAATCTAGTAGGTAAATAAAGCAACATGCCCTGAGACGTCTCTTGCAGGATCAACCGAAGTATAATGCAGGAACTTTAACATTATAACTTCACTTTCCAAGTGTTTGTAAGGGCATATCATGTTACTAAATCATACCACGATTTATCTTACGTTTTATTGGTCAAAGTTCCCCCTGTCAAAACTGACGTCCCGGAATTGTGGCTGATTTGATTCTGAGAAAATTTTCACCGACCATCCTGCTGCAGTGCTGTAAAATTGAAATGATTCCAAGATAGATTCAATAATTTTACTTAACAGGTACCTGTTCTAAAAATTATTTGCGCATTACTTTCATTAGTATTTTCATAATGCCCATGCTCATCGTGTGTCACTTTGTTATCATTAATTGCTCTAATACGATAGATTAATCATCACTACTTTCTTGTTACCTACTTTTTTCAGAGGAATAAGTTCAACGGTCCGTCGGTGCATTGAAAAAGAAACTGGTGTGGAATTTGCTGCCAAAATAATTGACATCAGTAATGAGCCAGAGAATAGGACTGCAACAATTGAAGAAGTTCGGATCTTGCGTTTGGTTTCCGGCCATCCATACATTAGTAAGAGTATTCATGTTTTTCACTGTACAAGTTTATTAATTGCATCACAAAGGTCATTTTCATCATGAGATGGCGATTTCTTATCTCATACAAACTGTTAATCTGGAAACAGAATGAACCCAAAAGGAACAGAGAAAAAGTCTGGTATGGGTAATCTGGGACACCCTATATATTTCTCGCCTGACACTTTCCAACCTGAAACTTGGAAGAATTTTATGTATTAAATCTAGAGAATTCAAAAATTAAAGATGAACCATCTACAACAGCATTCCTCAAGGGTTTTTTCAAAAACCTTAGAATCTTTAGCAATTACTACTTAATGAAATTTTGAGTTCTGGAGGCAGTTCGCTGTAAATACTAGCAAGAATCGTAAGAAAAATGTCGCTCTCCTGCAAAAGTTTCGTCAGGTAGTCAGTTTCTTTTCTATGATTGGTCATAAATATCAATCTGTAATTATGATCATTTATTTACTTATTGTTAGTTGTAGATTATCTCAATCCTTGAGGGTAAGCATGGAGTGGAATAATGTAGGCACCTACTTGCAATGCTGACTTCTATGCTGCCGTGCTAAGGATAAATGCTGCATGAACATTCGAAAGTTGCCTAATTTCCGTTGATAAAACATGTATTTTTGACAACATGCTTGCGTATTTTTCCTTAAAATTTTCAGATATTTCATATTAAATTGCGTGCAAAATCGTCTGAAATTTTTGGAAAGTAATATTCACAATTTTCCCAGTAATTTCGGTTTTTATCGGAGGAAACTTGGCAACGTCTGGTGGCTCATATGGCGTTCTTCCTTAGGACGGCAATACGGTGCTCCTGCTTCTTTTCTCAGCCAGTGCAACTTGACCCAACTAAAAACGAATGTAGTGAAAGAAGGCAAAATCAGTTCTTCATTCGTCTCTTATTCACATTTATCTCTAATCTTTGTCCTTAAATTTTGATTCCCAGTTCAGCTGCATGATGTATTTGAATCGGAGACATTCATCTTCCTTGTTTTTGAGCTATGCAAAAACGGAGAGTTATTTGACTACCTAACGTCAGTGGTCACTCTTTCAGAGAAAAAGACAAGGTAAGCCTCCGTTATTGCTGCATGATAATGCTTGGCCTTATGCTGCAGCAAATACGCAATCTTTGCTAAATAAGTTTAGGTGGGAAATTTTCCCACACTCACTATACTCGCCAGATCTCGCGCTCAGTGATTGTCATCTTTTTACACAACTCAAGTTGGACTTCGGCAGTAAGCACTTCACCAGTGTTGAAGAGGTCAAAAATGCTGTTGATTCATGGCTGATAAGGCAGCTGACTGAGCTCTATGCACAGGGAATTAAAAAACTGGTATCACGGTATCAGAAATGCTTAGAAATCGGAGGGGACTATGTTGAAAAATAAGGTAAGATTCTAATGGTGGGTCATTTAATTAAAAATACTTTTACCAGGGGGATAATGCCTGCTTCAATAATCCAATAATTTGTACCCGCATTGTGAAGCGGCGCGTGCAGAAAACCTCAATATCTTGGCAACAACTGATCCAAATTAAAAAAAACTATAGCTCATTGGAAAGTTGAAAACATTTCCTATAGGCACGCTTCTACAGATTTGCTCTAGCCATAATACTTTTGGAGAAATTGAATAAGGAAACTTTCTTTTGAAACGACCCTTTAATTATCTTGTCATTATCCAATGAGATAGGGTTGTTTGGAAGGAGGTAGCACCCAAAATTCAACCATGTAACCTCCTGGTCTGGAAATGAAGAATTTCCTTTTTTTTAATTTTCTTATATTTTTCTATTCTTCTCTGTGCAGGAATATAATGCGACAACTTTTTGAGGCTCTGGAACATGTGCATGGCCATGAAATAGTACACAGGGACTTAAAGCCTGAAAATATTCTGTTAGATGATGCAATGAACATTAAACTCACCGATTTTGGCTTTGCTCGTGTACTTCCACGGGGAGAACTTCTAACAGGTACCCAAATCAACTCTCGATTTGCCCTTTTTCACATGGTTGCCACTGTCAGGGAATACCAAGAAACCTGGAAATTGTTAGGGAATTCTGAAGTCATAGAGAACGTGTAAATATCAGGAAAAAATTGTCAAGTCACCCTTATTTCCTTACTAGAATGGGTGTGACGTTTTGAACAACAAATTTTGTCTGAAAACTATTTCAAATCATGTCTTTTTAAGAAACTGGGATATCCTCAATTTTCCGGGAATTCCAAAATGTGACCAAGAGAGATCAGAGAATTTAATTTTTTAAATTCTGGGGCAACCCTGTTTTCAACTCAAGTGTTTCAAAAGCAGCAATGAATTAATACTTTAAAGGACCAAGGAGGTATCAAAAGTATTTCTCACAATCTTCATGAAAATTGGGACAGCTACTTTGATAATGTCTATGGCATGCACCTTTGAGAATTACTTAACTTTGCTGGATATCTTAAAATCCAATAGGGATCACATCTTTTCGGTCAATCCTCAATCATACAAAAGGATAGATTCCACCAAGATAAGCGTACCCTTATTTTCAGTTGCCTAATATTATCCAGCATTGTCTTGTTTCAACATAAAACCAAACAGCTTAACGAGTATGAAAACTGATTTAAGTCAAATCGGTAATTGATTAGTTATTAGTCAAATCTTTGACGTACATTAATCACGGTTTCTTTTTTTTTGGATGCCAATTGTTTGAATTTACCGCCTCTATGTAAACAGAAGACAGTAATTTCTCATCCATCATTTTATCTTTGACTTTGACAACTTGCTCAACAAGTTTTTTCGAGAAACATGTTTCATAGTGCCATGAGTAGCACCCTGTCTAGTGGTCCATTCTAATTTTTTGAAGAGTGAAATGTTAATAAAAATGTTGAATCATGTTAATAAATGACATCTACCAGTCTACCTGTTTGTTTCTTCCAGAATTGTGTGGGACTCCTGGATACTTGGCTCCGGAAGTTTTAAGAGTTAACATGTACGAAGGTGAACCAGGCTATGCACATGAAGTTGATTTGTAAGTTCTGTTCTTTTTTAAATCTTAGAGATTTAAAGAGAAGTAATGCAAGTAAGGTAATTAATCAGTTCTTCGCTCTTGCTATGAATTTTTTTTCTTTTTTTTTTTTAATTTCAATTCGCTTTAAGATATTTGAATAATGTGAATGTTCTCCCTCTTTTTATCGTCCGTACACTAGCCTCCTTGATTCAAAGCCAACCCTTTTTTTCAAACTCAAGGACTAATGAATTTCACATTTTTGCCAGATTTTAAGCTCTCAAAATTAGACCCATCGAAATTGTGGAAAAATAAGTATGCTGCAGTTGACTAGTGGAGAAGATATGAATTTAAGTATTCTGATATATTTTCTACTTCAAAATTTTACGTAGAACACAATTTACATCACTCAAATTACCGAAATTAACTTCCAACTGAAGTATTAAGTTTTTATTTTGCATTGGTTACCAAAAATTCAAATTTCCAGCTCACATGAAAAACGGGAGTTGTCTTGAATCAAATTCCGCACTACTTACAACGGTTTTGTCAGGCTTCTTAACCTCTGTTTCTTCTCAACTTTGTGTTCTTCAAAGTCAGGTTTTGTGATTGTCATATTTTTGCTCTGCAAAGACTGTCACAGAGGCATGTAATGTGCGTTGTAACTCTAGTAGAACAGGAAGCAGTTTTGAGCCGGAAGTTTGAATTAGTGCATTGAAAAACGTTAATATCTTTGTCAGGAGGTACTTTCAGTAATTTTTGTCGTACAATTGTGCTCTACGTGAAATTGCAATGAGAAAGCATACCATAATGCTTAAATTTGCACCTTAACTTGTGGTAAGTTAGCATACCGATAATGCAAATTTCATTGTTCGAACAGCTCTAGCATGCATTCAACCTACAAGACAAAAGACATAGAAAACTTTTAAAATCACAGTGAAAGAATTTGTTACTCAAAGTCAAAACAGCCATAATCCAATATTTAGTATTCGTTTTTTGGTGATGAATGCCCCAATACATTAATGGCTATTAGCATCTTAAACATATGAAAATGTTTGCAACTTACCTGAAAGTAAAAGTATCTAATTGTACCAGAGTTAAGATGAACAGTTTCATGAAAACTTCGGAGTTGGAATTTTTGGTATGCTGAGGACCTTTTTTCAGAGATGCAACCTCGCAGTGGTTTGGTTCAAATTACGGTTTTCATTTTCTGTTGTAGAATAGGAGCCATGTTCATTGCTGATTCTCTAATTTTTCTTTGATCTCTTATTTTTACAGGTGGGCATGTGGAGTCATTCTGTACACACTGTAAGTATTAGAATTTCTTTTGACTTAATTCACTAGTATAAATTGTGGGACCAGGCTTTTCAAGCGCAGCAAGTTTTATTGCTGTAGATGAACCCCGAAAATTGGACAAAATGCAATGTGTCCAAAACTGGTCTGACTAAATATGTTATTTATTTTTAAAAAAAAAACCTTGATCAATCCAGACTCATTTCTTTTATTTGTTTACTTCCAGATAAGTCCAAAAAGTGTGTTGCAAAATCTTAATTATGCTAAGCAAAAGTCTCCATACAAAAGGAAGAACACCTTTCTCAGCTTTTATTAAATTTTAATAGTTATACCACTCAGTGGCAGTATAATCAAAGAAAAGCACACACACACTTAAATTAAATCAGCAGCCTGGGTCCTACTTCTGTTCTCTCCTTAGGGATAAGCGGTTTTACTTTAATATCATTAAAGGTCAAGAATGCAGAACGTTCCAAAACTCCGACAGTTTGCAGTGATATGGCTTATTAGCCTTACGGCATTCTTCCAATGTGTCTCACAACTTAACACGTGATTTTATAGCCAAATGAGCGATTTGCTGGTGAAATGTATGATTTGTCCCACTTTTTTGAAGCATGGGACTAAAGGAAAAGAGAAAAAAAAAGAAGGTCCTTTTTTTTTTTTGAAAATTGACTCACATTGGCTGAGATCCTATGATTGTCAGATTTTGCCAATTTAAGAAATGATACTTTGCAAATCTTGTTTTAAGAAAACGGTCACAAAGATTTGGTTTTTTTGTTTAAAATGTGTATTCAACCATAAACAAAAAAGGTACCTCAATGCTAAAGAACTCAAACTCAAAGCTGCGTACGCACTAGAGCTTTTTTGACGAACGTACCAAATGTGCAGCCACAAAAGACTGCTCAAGTTGTGCAGCAAGTGCGGACGGGTCTATGAATGGCTCAAGTGTTTCTCCCGCATGAGTGGAACAAGCCCAATAGCATCGAAAGCTTTCAATGATATTCGGATTGTTCGCACATTTTCCAGCCATGAACCGCTGACTTTTACTGCCTTAAGTGCATTCAGTTGACTTCTTGGTTAAGATGGAGAGACACCAAGTGGCAGCCGGTGATTTTTTAATTATATTTAAGTCATTAAAAAAGAAGAAAAAAATCTTGCCCGCACTTTTGGATGAGAAAGTAATGTAGAGTGCGTGACAATAATTCATTCATGAGAGATAAGGACTTCTTCCACTTTCAAAATTTTGTGCGCATGAGTTCAGTTGATTTTAAGAAACTGCTCAATTTAATTGGGCCGAAAATTACAAAGCAGGTGACCAACTTATGTGAAGCAATCCTGGTATCCAACCGTCTAGCAGTCACAATGAGATTCCTAGCAACAGGAGACTTCTTCTGATCTTGCTCGGAGGACGATCATCTTCACGCTTGCGGCATTCCTGCGTTAAAAGATCGGCTCGTTCTGTTCCTTGCGTTTGCATGTCTGAACATGTCAAATACGCGCTCAAACTGCTCGCAGCGTTCGGCTCATTCGGTTCCTTTGTCAAAAACGCTTTAGTGCGTACTTAGCTTTAGATGCCACGTTCAGAAACGAAAAACCTCATTTGCAACTAAAGCTATGATGGTTGAAGTTTGCAGTTCAAAATATCTATTCAAAGTATTAGGATGCCATTTTGAAAGTTCAAAATGGGTAAAATAAAATGGTAAGTTACCTCTGTTGATTAAGAAGAATTCAAAAGCTCCCAACCTATTCTTCTGAATACAGAATTAATAGTGTTCTCTGTCAAAAACTCTAACTCTGATACTGGACAAAAATCGTACTCATGAAGGATTTGTCCATGTTCTCCCAGGTCTTTATCTTAGGCAGTCACAAGTCTTCAAATTTGTGTTATTTTCAAGACCAGATTATTAGGAATTTTTCATTTTTATGTTTCAGTCTAGTTGGTTGTCCTCCGTTCTGGCACCGGAAACAAATGGTAATGCTCCGCAATATCATGGAAGGGCAGTATTCCTTCACATCCCCTGAGTGGGCTGATATCTCAGGTAATTTTCAACACACAGGTAATGATGATCTTTGTATTTTTTTTCTTTTTTTTTTTTTTTTTTTTTTTTTTTTTTCATCTTTAATGTTTGATTAATGAATTGAATCATTATCCAGTCATCATCACATTTTTTTTCAGCTTTTTACCTCAACTTTAGCGACAGTGTCAACCATTATCAAATGATGGGTAAATATGTACTATCAATGAAAATATGTCACCAGATCTGTGAAAAGAGACCTTATTCTAGGAGAAAACTTTTCAAGTGAGCCAAATTTATGGAAACCTTTCAAATTTGCAATTTTGAGTTCTCATCAGGAAACACTATCCAGAAGCCTTTGTCACAAGATACGTGCGGTTTTAGTTTCATATTCTCACAACGGAGAGTGCTAGCTACTTCTTTTCTGTGTGTTTGTCAGATTCTTTAAACTTATGACGTATAACTCAGGAATTTTTGTCCAGGAACCTCAGGACATCATATCTAGTTATCTCAATGGACCTAAACAAGGTAAAAATTCAAGCATTCTGATGTTTCCCATAAAAAATTTCACATAACTCATGATTTGGTTGCGCCTACATTTCCAAATATTCTTACTCAATACAGTGGTACCATCAACTCTAATTTGAATCTTTGGAAGACAAGATTCCTTTTCACAGATCCGGTCGTATATTGTTGGAAAACATTGTGTCAGTCAATGTGCTTTTGTTGCAACTTGAGATTTAGGCTGGTGTCTCCAAGTAATACTTTGTTGAATGAAGCTTGTGTGAATAATACAAGATTTTTACAATTTTATAGAGGAGGCCAAAGATCTTATACGACGGTTACTTGTGGTGGATGTTAAACAGAGGTACACTGTGCATGATGCCTTGCAGCACCCATTCCTTCATGTAAAGGTGAGCTCATTATAGATATTTTATTTTTTTATTTTTATACCTAATCTACACATTTTTATGATTTCCAATCACACACTAAAACTCTGAAGTCACCATCTCTGAGTCTAGCTTGTTCAGGGCTGTTGTTTTTTTTTTTTTTAATTTTTTTTTAAAATCAATCTGAATCATTACATATAGGCTTTGATACTACATATTTAAGAGTGGAGCTCAATTTATATCTCAAGAAGATCATTTATGACTGTTTATAGGAAGACGGTTTTTCATGTGGAAAAACAAAAAAATTAAGCTCCTACTACCACTTCTTAGAAAAAAGTTCCATCAATAGTTTGGCACGACAAAATTTGGATCTAAACCAAGTTAATAATACTACAACTTATGGATGGCTTCGAACTTTGATAGAATTTTCTCAAGAGAGTCAAAAAGTTTTTGGCATGGAAAAGTGTGAATCGATATTTTTGACCCCTTACTGGTTTTTTTGCCGTTCCCAGCAATTTGAGTTAAAATACACTTTGCCGGACTTCATTACAATTACTTTCTCGAAAAATGTTTTGCAGAATACTGAGGTGCTTCTTACTGGTGACTTCTTAAGTAAAAAAGAGACACATATCACATCCCTTCATTCAGAGAGATATAAGAGGTAGATTTTTGTCGCTGTGGAACGAAGTTCTCATCTGAATTAATGTCTTGTCATGACTGTTGATCACTCGATCGGTCTTACCTCTTTCATACAATTTGCTGATTTGTTGTAATCTATTTTTTTAAGTAGTATTTTTTTAAATTCTATATTTTAATTTTTTTTAACTCAAAAAATTCAATCCTCACCAACTCATCTCATTAAATTGTTCTTCTTATTATTTCAGCTGTGGGATACTGACATGGTTCCTCTGAAACAAAGTCTGGGGACACAATCCAGAAGATTCAGCAAAATATCTCAGATGGCAATGGTGAGATCCCTCATTATACGGTATTTATAGCTGTGGAGCTATCTCAATTAAAAGAAAAAGATTTTTGCATTTTAATTGTCGTCATAATTAATTCTGGTACTATTCATTACATGTGTTGTATTTAACGACATTCCTTTACATGGAAATGTCAGTAATTTATATTGAAAATAAATGAAGTCAATTCATAATATGGTTCTAAATCTATAAATAGCTTAATTCAATAAATTAAACCAGGCAGAATTCAACCGATACATGATGGCAGTTGTAGCCCATGAATAGGTACATTTCCTAATTACATACCTTGCGTTTTCCTGGAAGAGCCAAGCTAGAGAAGTGGTTGGATTTTGCAAGGATCGGATAATTGAACTCTTATCGAAAATGATTTGTGGTGAAAATACCTAATGCTTTCTTTGTTCTTTGTTTTTTCTCCCTAGGATCTGAAAATATGTCCATTCAACGCCCGGAAAAAATTTAAGTTTGCAATATTGTGTGTACGATCCATGGTAAGAATGACCAGATTGAGATTTACGCCAGAACCACTGTCCGTATCTAAAGGTCGCTGTGACCCATACAGAATTAAAGTTCTGCGCAAGGTAAACTACTTTACCGATACTTACTACTTACTACTTTACTTTACTGATTTTTCACCAAATTTGCTCCAGTCCACCTCAGACATTGACAAGTACAATTTTTAACATCTGTTGGTGGTAGTTTAGCAAATTTTGAGAATTATTACTCCTGTTGCCTATTTCAGTCGAACTCCTATGGTTTTACAAACTTGTGACCTTTTCACTTCTCCAAAGCAAAATGTTTCAAGCGGATATTTATAAATTTCTAGCCATTGTAACAGTAGAATAATGATTGCATCTCTGACGTTCTCAATATCAAAAAATATTCAACTTTTGGGTAGAGTGCATTCAGCAACCAACCAAGTTTATCGAGGAGCAAAGGGTCCTCTCAACGGGTAAAATTTCCCACCAGAGTTATTTTTATTAAATGCGCTTTTACCTAGTTCTTTTCTTTAAGTTGCCATCCTTTCTCTGGAATTCAAAGTCAAACAAGCCTGTTGCGTAAGTGTAAGGGACAAGTTCGCTAAGGGGCAATTAGAAAAGACTCTCAGAAGACCACCAAAAAAGAAAAAAATATTTCTTTCGCCATTTCTTACTTGAAACGAATAAACAACAAATCCTATGATCGGTACACTACACTGCAGCATTTACTTGTGGCGATCCTTTCATAATTACTCAATTAATTTGTTTTTTTCCTAACGGAGAGAGCAGCACTATTGCTAAATTAGGTTCCCTGAAAGTTTTAAGCGGGCGCTGGATGACAAACTGCCACTTGGTTCTTTAGAAAATTTAAAGCAATTTTAAATTTTGATCTGTCAGTGTAAAAAAATTTACGTGAACAAAACTGGTATGTAATTAATGTGGGAAAAGCACAAGTATGTACAGGAAGCAGATAAATGTAATTTTAATTTTTTTATTTAATATATTCACCACGTAATTTAATGGCTCTCTTGAGTTTTTCTTCAGTTCAATTTGTGGGTTGCATTGATTGTTTTTTACTTTTCCATCAAGTATGTCATGTTTAAATCTCAAATTATAATGATTCGATATTGTTTCTTTTTTCAGGTCATCGACGGCTGTGCATTCAGAGTTTATGGCCATTGGGTGAAAAAAGGCGAAGGACAAAACCGAGCCGCTCTCTTCGAGAACACCCCAAAAACTGAATTACGTCAGATTTACATGAGTAACCTCTCCCCAGTGTCTTAGTCTTATTTTAGTCATGGTTTTGAAAGTCAGTCCACACAATTTAGAATAGTTACCGTCAAACTTGGTATTAGGTTGGCCATCTTGTATGCAATAAATCCTTTAAAAATAGAGCTGGGAATGTAGACAGAACATCAGACAACGCCCTACATATATCCCAACTTTTAATAGTATTTGAAAAGTCTATAGTGTTGAAAGAATGGTAGGTTTAATAAAATAGAGAAAGAAAAAAATTGTTGGCATTAATGGACAATAATGTAAAAAGGAACAAAAGATGGAAACTTTTGTGGCAAGGAACTATGAAAAGATTCATCTAGACTACTTACATTCTTTGGCAATATATTCTCCTAGTTATAGAAGGTTTCAGCTTGATGCTAACTTTAAGTTTATTTTAAGCAGTTTTGTTCCCAGAAAGAATTTAACTGGTGCTATTGTGTTACCTTTTCTTCAAAAAACTTCAAAGACTGATCATTTGTCTGACTGAAAGAAGCGTATCTTTATTTTTTTAAATCAACCGTCGCCAAGTACAAAATATACTTGCCTAATTCAGAGGTTTTTTTTTTATTTTTTTATTAATTTATTTGTGTATGGTCTGTGGACATACAGCTGTTGGCTTTGAGCTTTGAAAAAGTGATATGCCATTGATAATGAGTGTATTCAAAATCGATATATCGATTATAACAGAATGAATAAATAGTGCTGGCTCCTCACTATTCTGCGGAGAAATCAAAGCCAAAAATTCAAAAATTATTTGACCATTAAACAAGGTACATGTTGAAGTATTCTAATTTGTATTCAATCTTCAAAATTAATAATATCTGTAAAAATTTAAAATAAAATTTAAAAATGAAAAACTTCGAAAAGATTATACAATTTAAGTAAGAAGGGAAAGAAATTAGTTAAATCGAAAAAATTAGAAGTAAAAATGAAAAAATCCTAGGTAATCAAAAGTCAAGTTTAAATAATAATAAATTGTAAAAAAATTAAAATTGAAAATGATAGGAAAATATTATAAATAAAAAGAAAAAGTACAATGAAAATTTAAAAGTTCCTATGAAAATAGAAAAGAAGAAAAATAGAGAGGAAAAATGACAAAAATGTTTCAACAGAAGAAAAAGTAAGAATGAATCAAAATGAAAATGTAATGTACAAAAAAATTACTAAAATAATAAGGGGACACAAATACCATGAACACAATAGAGCAGAACACAATGAAGGAAGAAATTTGCGAATTCATCTTCTCGAGGAAAGCAGTTTCAGACTAAAACTTAGTTCAAATTTGTTACTTACTTCTTCTATATTGAAGAATCCACAAGTGTGTCTTAGTAAAACAACATCTCTGCTATGTCAATTAAGATAAAAATTAATTTTACAACCTGTATATAAATAATTAAATACAGAAAATTCACAATTTTTATAACAGTTATTTTAACCCTGCCAAAACCATTATGAAAAAGCCAGCAAAGAAAATGATGACTTTAAATTGTACATTAAAAAACTTGTTAATTATGGATCATGCAAAATTTTAGACTGCATTGCATCTTTCCATTGAGTGAGCTGTTATACTTATTACTTCCTCCAAGTGCTCACCAAAACAATCAGCATTCATTTTATTAGTTTTGTGGTTGTAAATAATTGTGCAAATTCAGCCTAATTAGGATTTAGCATAGAATCCATATTTTGTTTTTGTCCACTACCCATCATAATTCAAACTGTGAAACTTCTATGGAATCTATAGCATATTCATAAAAGTTCTCTGATTTCAATGAAAGATGGATATCCATGAAAGTCCCTGGAATCTGTACGGAACACTTTCAACAGGATAAGGTAGAAACAGGAATTTCGAGGCCAAGTATTTTTTTTACTTCTAACTCAAAAAAGGACTTGGTTTTCTTTCTAATAAATTCGTTGAAATCCATTTTTGTGTATTGTCTAGTCCCAGTAAAAAATATCTTTATGATTGGGTGAAAACCCAGTTTACATCTAACTGATCTAGTCCAAAATTGGACTGGCTTTGATAGTCAAGCAGGACTTTACCCTGTGCCTTTCAGTTTCTGTTCAGCTGTAATCTAGTCCTGTCTTCTTTTACACATATCGTTCAGAAATCTGTGGTTTGTCTACTTTAGCATGTAAGCTACTTCAATGAATAAGTCTTAGCAGACAGTAGTTGAATCGTACAGTTTGAAAAGGGCAGAAGTAAAGAAAAAAAAAAACTCTTGCCTGAGCATTCATTGTTTATGGTATCTCATGGGTTTTCGGACTTCCTTTTTCCAAGCTTGTCAAAAGATTCAATTTTAAATTTTAATGTATGAAAATGGAAAGTCAATAAACCTATGAGCCTCACAAGAGCTGTTTTCACCGATGGATGATAACTCATCAATTTTTTTACTTTTGAACGGTCTTAAACTGTAGATTAAGTTATATCAAACCTTTCAAAAAACAACTGAAACATTTCTCATCATCAGCTACAAAGCGTAGATCTCCCTCTTCTTAACTCTGCCAAATGTATTTCAGGCTATTACTGCCATTGCGCAAAGATTGAGCCAAGAATATAACATTCAACTGGTTGTTTTTGATGCATAATCACTTTTTATACAATGTCAAATTGTACTTATCTTCCCGAAGGTTATTATGTCTTTAGTAACTTAAAATAACTGAATTCTAAATAGCTATAATTCAGAGGTTAATTGAGTAGTGAGTCAAGTATTACTATAGATTTGTAAATATTCCTTGTGCCTGTAAAATTTTGCTCACTCATGATGAATTAATAATTTTGTCAAATTTTGTAAGAACATTTTAAGAGGTAGATAGTATGGAGCTATGAACTTTCTTTGATATTAGGGTTTGTATAAGTTAAGATTGGACAGGAAATTGTTTCATTTTGTTGATGTACTTAAATCATAAAATTACTTGACATTGAACAATCATAACTTTAAAAAAAATTGAAATATTATCATTCAAGAAATTGAGTACATGCTCATTGTTACAAAATAAAATAACAACTACTTTCATCCGCAGCATGATACCTGATTTTGTTCGTTGTTTTTTTTTTAAAGAATACTGCTGTCCTGAGCAAAAAATTATTAAATCAATCATTTTGTTCCAGATTTTCTTCATGTCTTGTGATTAATTTTGTAACTGAAAGAATGATCTTTAAAACTAGCAATCTACCACAGCTTTATTTAAAAATTATCCAATATTTTTTTATTTTTACCTCATTTTAAATTAACACCTCCATCTTTTGAAACTAATTGTCTATTGGCAAGGGGGTAAAGCTCTGAAGCCTCTCTATATAATTTTAGCTTTCTTATATTTGTACAGTTAATACAGACATGTACATAAAACACTCATATCTGAAAGTACAGACTATAAAGTGAAACCCCTCTTCCAAGTAACACAAAGCAACCCGCAAGTTGAAATAAGTTTACATATTTTAGGTATAAAATTGAAAATTTTTCACCATGAAATTGCAATAATTTTACAACATTTGTTTAATGAAAGCTGAGTTTGAAGCATCAATCAAATGAAGTTTGAAGAAATGTAAGTTTTATCACAATAAATATCAATTAAAGGGGCCCCCTCTAGGACGTTAATAATTAAACGTCACCAAAAGCACATAATGTTAAAATATACAAGACAACACTTTTCCAAAGAACTGAGCGCGTATTGCAGAATGGAGAATTTGTTTTTTTATTGGAGAACAAATTTTTTTTTGCTTTATCTGAATTTGTGCTCAATCAGCTGAGTTCGCAGTGTATTTCATCATTTTTGTCTGAAATGGGAAGATAATGGGAAATTGCAGAAAAATAGATTTAAAAGCGAGAAAATTTACCGCCTGGTGACGTCATCTGGCAGCATTTCCCATTTAAAAGACATGTATTTTAGCAGATTAGGTTATTCGGTAGTATTTCCTCCAATAATTGTCCAATTCAGAAACCAAGGATATCTGCGTGCTTAGCTCTCGTGAAATTCTAGGTGGCGGTAGACACGCCGGTCAAATCCTAAAAAACTCCCCATCAAAAATTGACGACAAACAAAAAAAAATGAAGTTTAAGATGATTACATTTTACACATGAAATTGAAAAAATTTCAACATTATGTACCTACAGCCCCTAAAATCAATGAAGGCAAAGTGTCTGCTAATCACCGATTCTCCTTATTTCATGTCGGAGGGATTAAAATAACATCAAAGCTTTTGCGCTCAATTCTTGAAGCCAAATGTTAGACAGGTTCCTTTTAAATAATGCCTGGCATAGCCATGATTGGAGATAAGTTGGAATGTAAACCACTCCGACTTCTTACCTGGAGCTTCGTGCAAATTCTTCATTAGGAATGAAATATTCATTCATTTCATTCCATCAATTTTAATAAGCGATTTATTGAATAATACGTATTATACTTCCCTACCAGCTAGGTACGGTTGTTGCAATTTGTTTCGAAAAAACTCTTCAAGAAACCGTCATACTTAACTTACGAAGATGAAAACCCTTCTTTGGGATTTTCCTAACATAAAAAAGAGATGCAAAATTTATGTAAAAAACTTTTAAAAAAATGTGATTTTTTTAAAACACTTTTCTGAAGTAAAATTTACAAAGAAAAAGTGTTAATAAACAAGTGCATTATTTTTAAAAGTTGTTAATGAGTTTTCTTCAATACTTGTAAATACGTAAATTTGACCTCTCGTAAATTTTAGGCAAAAAAATCCCAAAAAGCGTTTCCCTCTTCTAAAATTTTAACAGTTTTATTAAGAACTTTTTTTTTTCATTAAAATTAATACCTAAGTTTTTTTTAGAGATATTTGGACTACATTTTGCAATTTGGAACCATAAATTCTAGCCCGGTTTAAAAACAACGTGTGTGCCATTAATTCCCCTACGCACATAAGTGTTTTTTCAGATGAGCCAGAATTTATAAGTCCAAATTGCAAAATGCAGTCCATTTTACAGTCCCTGCTGGTCCCTAGGAGGGTTAACGTAATATTAAGTGAGTACAAAATTGGCCTCGATACGCGACACGGTGCTCCTAATTCCATTCAGAGGCATACAATATTTATTATTGGGAGATCATCGCCCCAGTCCATTTGCCATGTTGCCTCCACACTTTGGAGGCGCTCTGAATCGCTTCACCTACGGGCCCTGTAGGTTTTTACGTCTTCGCGCTCAACTCTAGTGCACTCGCCTCTTCTACGAGTCACCACCACCCAGGATCTACTTCTTGTCCTGATGGCTGAGTATACAGGCCACTTTTGGCCTCACTATGGTCTCTATGACCGACACCGCCTCTCAGGGTACTTCTCTGTACCTCAGGAGCGCGGTTTAGTGCCACCTTAGGTGGGCTTCCACTGTGCTCTGCAATTGAACCTCTTCTGTACTCTGGGCTTTTCCAGAGATGTAGGTGTGCAATAATGCTATCTGGGCTAAGGACTGGGCAGATCTCCGAATGTTAATGCTGATTAAAAAGTACCTGATCAAACCTACTTTGGGCCTCTTGTTCGCGATGTACTCTTTTATCAAATTTCGGAATCTGAGAATTTTATTTAATACTGTGATGGTCTAAAAAGCCCGGTTAAAAATTATCAGACCCATAGATTTGGCGGGATCGAAATTTCCGGCCCTCCTCCCCCCCATTTCCGGAAGGGCCGCCTGGACTTGCTGGCGGGACGAAAACGCGAGCGCCCTCTATCGGAGAGAGGAACTTGTCCACGGCCGGTGTATGCTCAATTGCATCCTTGGAAATTGAAGGAAATTTTCGTGCTTCTCCGTTCTATAAGGTCCGATACGATAATGCAGGAGACGCGTTTCTTTCAAGATGCTGATTTTTCCCGTGCGGCATTTTCAGTTAAAAGAGTATATGTCCTTTTCCAAATTTAGGGAAACTATTTAAGAATTTGAGGGTCTTAATTAACTAATAATTTTGTCGGACATTCGGCCAGCGCCGAATTTTTTTCAAGTAAAATGCGATATTTCTAAAAGCCGTCCACCGTTTGCTTCTGAATACTGATTACTCGCAATTTTGAACAGTGTATCTGAGAATTTCTGGGAAATATTCCTGAAATTCCTCAAAATAAAATTTTCTGTAGGACAACGGTAATGCACCGATCTCATGAAAATATTGATGTACACCCATAATTTGAAACGCTGAATTCATTAGTGACTTTAGAAAAATTGAAATCTCAGTTAAAAGTGTGGTTCCGGGGGGAGATTTTTTTTCTTGCGTGAGAGAATTTTTCGTGTCCTTACTTTTTTCTGCCTTAGTCAGATTTCATGCTTTTGCCAAATTTTGCAAATAAAAAAAGAGCCGTGAACTGTGATCGATATATCTCAAATAATCGATTAATCGACCGGGCTCGATCTGATCGACACCGTAGTTGACGAATACCTCGTCTACAGCGTTGCCTTTTATAATTGTTAATTTCATAGAACACAACCCGGCACGGAGAGAACCCGGCAGTTGTGTCTAACCCGAAGAGCTTGAGGAAGAGAGAGAAATGAGAGAAGAGAACGCAGAGAGAACGGCACGGAGAAATTGAGGTTAGGATACCGAACGACTTAGACTTCCAAAGAATCGATCGCTCGAAGCTCGATGCTAAATAAAGTCAGAGCCGAAAGTTACAGTTTGGCAACAGCCTCTGATTGATAACAAAGACGATAACAAGTTCTGCAGAGACAATATCCCCACGAGGAGAAAATCTCACACATGAGGGGAAAAAATCCTACACAAGAAAAAAAATCACCCACGAGAAGAAACATCACAATCAGGTAAAAAAATCACACACAAGAAAAAAAAATCACACACAAGGAAAAAAATTCCCACACATGGGAAAAAAAGCCCGCTCGTGAAGGGAAAAAAATCCCACACGGGAAATAATTCTTTCACAGGGATTTTTTTTCTTTTAGACACAAACGGCCAACCATAGATATCTGTCAAGGGCGAGGTTTTTAGGTGTTTCCATCTCCGTACTCTTCGTTTGTTCAGCGCCCATTACTCATATCAAGGGAACTGCGAATGGGTGTTAAATCTCGATTTGGATGTCTATTGCCTACTTCTCAACATGAATTTAAAGCCTAAGTCCGGAAATGGATCTCGATAGCTGTTTCTAAAATTACCACTCGTATTTCATTTTTTCATGCGAATACTGCTCGACATTTTTTTGCGGAAATACTCGGAGAATATTTTCGAAGAACAGGGGAAATTCCAAAATTTCATAAGAAAACAGGAATTAGGTCTCTTTTTGAGAAGTAAACTGTGACAGGAGATTTGTAACGCCGCAAACCACGAGAAGCGGTTCGATAGCGGTTTCATCATCGACGAGGGATTGAAAACCTTAACTATTCCCAGCTGAACAAAAGTAACCGATGTTAAACTTGAGGAATTTTCTTTATTAATAGGCTACGGCCCCTGAACTCACGGGCATTTTGGGTTTTTTCCTCTTTTTTTTCTCGACAACTTTTTGTTTAATTCTGTATCTCAGCGAAAAATCCGACTAGATTCTCTAGGGGCCCTTTGAGTCCAAGGGACAGATTCAAAGAGGTCTGGATTTTGGGGTGTCATGGGGCCCTTAAACTGTAAGATTTGGTGACCCTAATGACCGTTGGGTGACTAGGGAGCCTGATACTGAAATTCCGGTGAACTTCAGAGATCACGAGCCCTATTATACTGCCGTGCTAAGGAAGAACGCCGTCTGAACATTCGAGAGTTGCCAAATTTCCTTCGATGAAATGTTAAATTTTGTGGAAAGTCATGAATGTTTTTCCTTGACATTTTCAGGAACTTTAGGCTAAATTGGGAGCAAAATTATCTGAAAAATTGGAAAGAAAATATATTCACAAGTTTACCAGGAAATTCGTGTTTTATCAAAGTAAATTTGGCAACGCCTGGAGGTTTATGCCCTTAGCACGGCAGTACACAAGACAATTCCATATGGACAGACTCCACTCGGTCTTTATCAGTGGCTCGGCGTGAACGGTCGAGTATCGATATTTCTCCATTTGAAACTATGGTAAAGAATCGATTATTAAGGTGTTCGTTGCTAACACCCCGTTTATCGATCCTTTTACATAAGTTTAAATGGCAGATCAATCGATACATCGCAGAGCACGCCACGCCACTGGTCTTCATCCCTTGATAGCTTGGAGAATGGATTTGTATTAACCC